CGGCGCCAGGCCCTGGGTCACCACACACAGGGCTTCCCGGCCTGCCCTCTGCTCATTTGCTGGAGGAGGTCGCATCAAATGGGACCTCTTTCAATGTCACCATCAGGATCTGTGGGACGGGAGGTCCTTTCCGGGTCCTCGCGGGTGGTTTTGTTTCTTCTGCGAGGAGCTGGCTGGCTGCGGCGTGTCCTGGGAGGTTTGGCAGCGTCCACCTGAGAGGGGCGGGGTGGGGGGTCTAGCCAGAGTTGGCCAGCCCAGGATTGGTTCCCCCTGCAGCCCGAGGAGCTGTAAAGTCATGTGGAAGCAGCCGCTGCCTCTCTGGCGCCCCTGCCCGGGTCGGGTGGGCCCGGTGCTGGGGCCGGGCTGGCCGTGGGCCTCGTGGTGGGCGCCGATGGGAAGAGTGGGGGGCCAATGGGCAGTTCTACCTCCACGTGTCCTGTTGAGGGTGGCAGGGGTGAGGCATGGTGGGTGGTAGAGCCGGGTGCCCTGTGCAGACAGCTGGCGGTCAGCAGCCTCGGTGAGCCTGGAACGGAAGCTGGAAAAGCCGTCGGTGTTGTTCTCAGGGCCAGCAAGGTCCCTGGGCAGCGGCCCTGCTTCCACGCCGGGCCTGTCTGAGCACGTCCAGCACGTTGTCTGTCCCTGCCGGGGAGGCAGGGCTGGAGGAGGGAGCTCAGAGCCGTGCGGGCCAGTGGGTCGCAGACCTTTAACCATCATTCTTGATTTTAGAATAAAGTACGTGATAGCCCAGTAAACACACACCCCCGCGACGCATCCAAGTGACCACGCGGCCCCCTGCCACCTTCCTTACTCTCCCCAAACCGGGGGTGTTTGTTTTCTCTCCCTGTGGGTCCCAGTCCTGGAGGTGACCGGTGGTGGCCCCGAGCCAGGGGCAGAGGGCGTCACCCCTGGGGTCTTGTGGGTCTCTGGGGCTACAGAAAGGTCCCACCTCTGACAGGCGCGCTGTTTCCTGGGGTGTAAACGCCTGAACCCCCTGCAGCCCTGCACGAGAACCGGGGTGTGCGCCGTCTGCACGGCATGTCTGTTTGGCCTTTCGAAAAGCCGTCCTTTCCTCTCCCAGTGACTCCGTGGTGACAGATTGATAAGCGTGGGTCTCACCAGGCTCCCGGCGTGCCTGGCGGCTGACGTTTTCTGTCCCAGCCTCCTGTCCTCCCCTCCAGGGGAGCAGTTCCTACTGGGTCCAAAGAGGGGACCCAACTGTCTGGCTCTGATTCTGCTGTCACTCCAAGTCCCCTTCCCTGGTGGCAGACTTGGATCACATGGCCTCTCTGTGCGCTCTGGGGGCGGGCTGCCCTGCAGGGCCTGGGCCAAGCTCCGAGATACCCCAAGGGCCTCTGTCCCCCTCAGGGAGTCCCCTGGGCCCTGGTGCCAGGGCCGTCCTTTGCTGTCCTGTTTGAGCATCAGGCCTGGAGTGTGCTCACCTGAAACCACGTCCAGGTGTGGACGCTGCTCTGCGGTCCCGCCCAGCGCCTGGGGAGGAGGTTGGCGCCACTGGGGCGTTCTCTCTGGTCCCTCTGGTGACCTGGGCCCGGGCTGGGTGGTGGCCACCTTGCTGGGGGGACTCTGCGGGAATTTGGGGCCCTGTGTTGTGCCCACCCGCCTGGTCTCCCTGGGTCTGGCCGTGTCCCCCGGCAGGATGTGGCCGCTCACAAAGTCAGAGCAGCTGGACGTGGACTGTTGCCCACATATACGCAGGCTCCAGCGTCCTTCCTGCCGCGGTCTGCTGGGGCCCTGGAGACCCTGGGGGCCCCACGTGCTGAGAAGGGCTCTGGAGTTGTGTTTTCTGCAGCTCACTTGGCACCTCTTTGGTGCCAGACCACGACCCCGGGTGTGGGGTGGAACCGCCTGAGCTGCTCCTGTGAATTCTGCAAAAACTCGGCTGCTATTGGCACTGGCCTGGGGGGTCGCCGGGGGCCTGCTGCAGCCCCTGCACCCAGTCTCGCCCAGCGCCCACACCGTCGCTGTGGGCTCGCAGACCCTGCGGGACATGGGGTCCTGGAGGCCACCAGACTGCACTTCAGTCCCCACCCTGCACAGTGGGGTTCAGTTCAGCCACCAGCAGGGCTCCCAGGCGGGCTTATCACACAGCTGTGCCGCAGGGCCTGTGCCGAGCTGGCGTCCGAGCGGCATCGAGGCACTGGGCGCCCACCGTTCCCCGCATGCTGATGAAGGGCATGGGTGGTTCTGCCGCTCGCACGTGGCCCGACAGAAGCCCCTCACCTCTGCATACCAGGGAGAGACAGCTCAGGCTCACTTAGCAAGTGGGGTTAGCTTACCCCAGCCGCCAAGTGGGGTACGCTCCTACAGTGGGGTTTCCCCAGGGACACGGCCCCTCTCCTTGTCTCTGAGACAGCTGGCTGGGCAGCCCAGGCCCGGCTGGGCAGGGGGTGGTGAGAGGTGGATGCCTGGGCATTTTTGCAGAGACCAGGCAGGCTCAGGAGTGTGCACGGCCTCCAGCCGCCTGGCGCTCAGATGGCCTGGACTCATATCCCAGTGCAACACGTCAGGGAACTTCTCTGCTCTGTGGTCGTCCACACCACCTGGGGACAAGGCTGCCTCCCTCCCTCGGTGGCAGAAGCCAGGGCGAGACTGATGTACCTAACCTGTCCAGGGGTGGGCCTGCCCTGCAGGGAACGTCCCTCCAAAGCTGGGGCCACGCTGTCACCTGGGTCATCTGCTATTTCCGGAGCCCCCGGCACCTCGGGTTTCTCCAGGCCTCTGCTTTGGGCCCCTCGGCCACCCTGTCCCTTCACCTCGGTCTTGTGCTTCCAGGAGTCTCGGACCTTCCCTCTGAGCCTTTTCAGGAGACCCACCCACCCCCTGCAGGCACTGCTGCCACAAGGCACCAAGTGTCCCCATCCCTGGGGGCCTGGCCGGCCGTGGTGGGGGTGCCTGTCCCTTCCTTGCTCGAGTAGTCCGTCCCCAGCATCCCTGCGTGCAGGCCCAGCCCTGTAGGAGGGCGCTCGGGGGTGCAGCCTGGGGAAAATTAGGAAGAGGGGCGTCCGGGGCAGCCGCAGGGCAGCGTGTGGACGGACTGAGATGGGCTGGTGTGGGCCTCGGCTGAGCCCGGTGTCCTGTAAGCAGGTGGTAAGTCGGCAACGGGACTCTTCATCTGTCACAGCGTGTGGGCGTACGCCCCACAGACGGGACGTCCGGGCTCAGCCCGGTCGGACATTCTCGTGTTTTCAGACACAGGTTAGTTTTCTGCCTAAGTTAAATTTTGTCCCCAAAAAAGATGTGTCTAGGTGCTTGTGCATGGACATCATTTAGAAACCAGGTCTTTCCAGGTGTGATCGAGTTAGGACGAGGTCCCCAGGGTGGCCCTAATCCAGCAGGAGTGGAGTCTTCCCAGGAGGAGACACAGAGGCAGAGACTGGACCACGCAGCGCCTACCGAGAACACCAGGGACGGCCGCAGCCCTGACGGCCTCACTGTGGCCAGGGCCCTGCCTAGAACCAGGCGTGGCCTCCAGAACCGGGGAGAAGTGTCGCGGGTTACGTGCCCGTGTGTGGTTTGTGGCCTGTTGCTGCACTTGGTTAGGGAGGAGACCCCTACTGTGTCCTGGAGGTGTCCTCGGGGAGACGTCTCAGTGTGGGCACAGGGCCACGTGGTAGGACATGGCCATGTCCTCCTGGGTCTCAGCCGTGTCCGGATCCCGGCACCTCGAGGGACCAGCGTGTGAGGTGGACACTCGCTGGTCTGGGGGCTGCCAGGGTGAAGGGTGCTTGGGACGTGCAGAATCTGTCAGTGCACGTCGAGTGGCTCCGGCGGGTGTCACCTCCACCCCTTTACAGGGGCCAGCCAGCTCAGGAGGGCTCATGGCCTGCCCGGGGCCGGCAGCGCTGAAGCCCTGGTCCGTGCGTGCGTTGGGTGGTGGGCCTGGTGGGGCTCAGTGACCTGGCTCGGGGCAGGGTGACCAGGGTTTCTTTGGGTCAGGAATGTCCCCAGCACTGCGACCTTGATCTCCCCGTGGGGCCAGCCTCCGTGGGTGCACAGCCCGGAGCACTGCCCCACGCCAGGCCCTGCATGAGGAGCAGTGGCCCGAGGTGTCCTGCACCTGGGCACCGTGGCCTCTGCTGGGGGCTGGTGTCAGAGAGAGGGGTCAGAGGTCAAAGCGGGCGGCAACGCACCAGGAATAGCAGAGCAGCCGAGCCCACCTGCAGAGCTGGGAATAGCTGCCTGTGCTCGGATCGCAGCGGCATCCCTCCGCCTAAGTCACAGCCTTCACCTGTGCTCGGGACCTGCTCACATGACGTGTGTGTTTTACCCACAACCAGGCCTTTGAAGCATTGCCCACTGTTACGGGGAGAAGTGTCACCTCGTTATCCACGACTCTCTGCCCCCCGTTGTGTCGCGCAGCTGCCTACGTGCTTGTTTGTTGAGTTGTGCCTTTTCCTGAGAGCAGTACACAGCGTGTAATTTTCATAGCTTGAGTCAGAGTCTGCAGCTGGCAGCCTTCAGGGGAGGCAGCCCCGGCTGCGTGGCTGGAGGTGGGGGCGGTTCCTAGTCCTCGGAGGCCCCGGCTGCCTCCGTCCTCCCTCTGAACTTGTGAGACCCCCAGGAGAGCCCTGTGCTCCAGCCGTGACCGACCCGCTCCAGCTGCCTGTGACGGCCCCTCCCCAGCCTTGCCCTGCGTGTGGCAGACGGGGCTGGACCGGGAGTGTCCAGGGCCCACCCAGACACGGGAATCCTCAGGGTCAAGGGTGGCCCGGGTATCGTCGTGGTGATGGGCGGAGAGGCTGCTCCGTCAGCTGCCCCCTGCCGGCCTGCGCGATGCCTGCTTGGCCAGGGCCCCGGGCTGGGCTGGGGGACCTGGGGATGACAGGGGACAGCAAGGCAGATGCAGTCCTGTGTGGGCAGCTGGTCAGTTGCCTGGAGGACCCCGGGTCTGTCTGGAGGAGGGGGCGTTGGGGGTGACCTTAGCAGAAGGAGCTGTGTGGACAGAGAAGGACGCCACAGGCTGCAGGAACAGCCGCCGGGGAATGGCGGGTGCGCCTGCTGTCTCCTCTGCAGGGGTGAGGACTGCCACCCTGTACCACCTGCACCTCCCTGTGAGCCCCCCGTCTCCCTGCTGGCCCGGGTGGGCTGGGTCCCCACCTTGGTCCCAGGGTCCTGCGCAGAGGAGTGCGTGCCATCGGCGCTCACTGCTCACAGAGTGAAGGGAAGCGTGAGGCAGCAGCGCGTGGGCCGGCCGGGTGGTTCCAGGGAGCGGGCGCCCAGGCAGAGCCGGCCAAGGGGTGCCTTGCGCTCCTCCTGCAGGGCACATGCGGGTGGCCTGGCCGGCAGCTGAGGGACGACCTGCCTCCCCCCACAGCGTGGCAGTCCCTCGTCTTTACTGCACACCGTGAGAGCCGGCACTGTCTATTTGTCAGCGTAAGTGCTTAGGGTATTTTACCTGCAGGGTGACGTCTTAGATTAAAGGGGTTCGTGTGCACGTGGAATTTCCTGGCAGTTCCCCTCCCCCTCCCGAGACCCTTGCCTTGGGGGCCCTTCGGGGGGTTGGCTTTTTCCCCGGGCGGCGGGAGCCAGTTGGGGGCTGAGGGAGGCGGTTGGGCCGTTTTGAGGGGGGTTTTTTGGAGGAACGTTTTCCCTTTTTTGCCCCTTGGGCCGTTCCGGGGCCGGTTTTGGGCCCCCGGGCCTTCCGTCTTGTTTCTTGGGCGTTGGGTTTTTTTTGGCTTGGGGGGCGGGGGTTGTTTTCCCCAGGGGGATGGGGGATGTGGGACACGTCCGTGCTCCTGTAGCAGCATGTCACGTGTGCCTGTGTCGGCGAGCCTTAATGCCTCGTAGCCTTAGCATGTTCATGCGTGGGTGCCGCCTGTGTGAGCCTGTGTGTGGCCCACTCTGTGTGCACCGGCCAGGTTTGTGGTATGTGTATGTCTGTGCCTTGTGCGCAGCTGTGTGTGCATCGCATGTACACGTGAGTGCACGTGTGGCGTGTGCGCCAGGCTGCTGGAGGGCAGAGGACACCCTGACCCTCTGGCACCGACGCAGCCTTTGCCTGCTGTGCGGAGCGGGTGGCGATTCCTCCCTGGCGACCAGACCCAGGAAGACACCTGAGAGAGGGTCCGACCTGGTTCCCAGCCGCATGCTGCCACGTGGCACCTGGGACGGAGACGCGGGAGGACCCAGCTGGGCGTCAGGGCGCCGGGCTCTGTGCAGTCCGGGTTTCCTTCCATGGAGCACTGGAGCGTGTGGGGGAGCCAGCTCCCTCCTCGGTGGTTTGACCCTTTCATTTCCGGGCACGACTGAGATGGGGCCACGTTAATTTCCTGTCTGCCGCGGCAGGGCCGCCTGACACCCAGGTTGCAGTCGCAGCAGAGGTCGCCGGCTTGACCCGGCTCTGGTGTTCGCGGGGGGCACTTCCGAGCGGCGTCCTTCAAGGTGGTGTCAGCGTTCCCTCTGCGCAGAACGGCCTGCGTGTGGCGCTGGGGGGGCTCCGGGTGGGCTCGTGGGGCTGGGCGGCCGCTGGTGCCAGGATGTGGCCACTCAATCTGCATCTGCTCCCCCCAGGTCAGCTGGCCGCCGGCACCTGCGAGATTGTGACCCTGGACCGCGACAGCAGCCAGCCCCGGAGGACGATCGCCCGGCAGACGGCTCGCTGCGCGTGCAGGAAGGGGCAGATCGCCGGCACCACGAGAGCCCGGCCCGCCTGTGTGGACGGTAAGAGCCGCGGCCCCTCCCCAGAGCTTTCCCCACGGCCTCGGGGCACAGCCTTGGGGTCAGTCTGCCTCTGGGCAGTCCTGTCCTCAGCCGCAGGTTGGTGTGATTGCCCTGGGGCAGCGCTGGCTTGTTGCACGTGAGGACTGGCTGCCACAGCTCTCGGGTGACGGCTGTTGGGGTGGCAGGGACCCAGGTCTCCACTGTGCGCAGATGTGGGTTCCCTGCTCCTGGCACAAGGCTGTGCCCGTGAGTGTAGCTGCAGGGGAGGCGGCAGCAGAGGGGCATCTGCGGCACAGCCAGGGCCCAGAGCCGGCTGCGTTCGTCTTTGTGCGGTTCCTGGCAGAGGTGGAGTCAGCAGCCTCGTCCCCCGCAGGCTGTGAGCACGGGCAGGAGCTCCCCCGACTGGCTCGCGGTGACCTCCGGGACGCCCCAGAAGTCAGGCTGCTGAGCGGATGCGCCGTGGTTCGTTCCTTGCTGAACTGACACTCAGAGAGGGCTTTGAGGGGCACCAAAGGGCACCATCATTTCCGATGTCCTCTTGGGGGGGTGCCCCCAGGTGCTATCCCGACATCTGATGAGACTGCCCACCGCAGGGGAGGACGCCGTCCGTGTGCCTCCCTGTGTGGGAGAGCTTGGCCCTCACTGGGACCGCAGGGAGCCAGACAGACCCAGTGGGTCAGTGCGAGTCCTGAGAACCCCATGGCCTGCTGTGTCCAGCCAGGATGTCTGCGGCAAGGCCAGGGGACAAGCCAGGCGTGGGTGGGAGGGCAGGCTTGGAGCCAAGCTAGAGCCCTGTTCAAGCCCCCGATGACCAGAGCTGGGGGGAGACCCCCTCCCCGAGGGAGAAATGGGAGCCCCCGTGGGCCAGCAGCCGTGGCCCCTGTCGGTCCAGCTGGCCTTGGGGTGGCTGAGCCCACGCGGCGGTGCAGGGGCCTGTGTTCCAGGCACAGAATCCTGACCACAGCCCAGGGGAGGGTGCAGAGGAGGGAGGTGCCCTGGAGGGCTACAAGGCCACCTCTCCGGGTGGAGAGAAGCCAGCAGCCCTGAGTGACGGGCGTGGGGTGGGACTGCCGTGGGGTTTCCTGGAGCCGTGGCCTGGGGAGGCAGAGACCCTGCAGTGCCAGCGTGGGGATGGGGGAAGGGGGTTGCTGGGCAGATGGGGGGGGGGGGGGGTTTTCCCCTTGGCGGTTGGCCCTTTCGGGCTTGGTTGGCTTTGGGGGCGCTTTTTTCTTTGTTTTCTTGGGGGCGGGGTTGGGGGTTGGCTTTTCGGGTTGGCCCCTTGTTCCCGGGCCCTGGTTCCCTTGGGTTCCCGGGGGTTGGGGGCTTGTTGCGGGGGCCCTGGTTGGGGGTTCCGGGGTTGGGTTGGCCCCCCCCGGGGGGGGGGGGGGCTTTGTTGGGTTCCTTCGGGGTTGACTTTGGCCTTGGTTTTCTGGTCCTGGTTCGGGGTCTCTCTTTGACTCCCGTGGCCTCTGCGTGGGGTTCCGGATGCCCAGATTCAGGTTCTGTGGCCTCTGCCCAGGGGCCCAACATGGGCGGCCTCACCTGTCTGCCGCGTTCCTGATCGGGACCGTGGGGTGGCGATAGCGCCTGCCGTGGGCACTGGAAGGTCAGTGGAGAAAGGACAGCACGTGCCGTGGGCACTCAGGGCCCAGGCGTGGTCAGCGCTCGGTGGCATTGGCCGCGTTGGGAGTGAGGATGCCACATCACCGCTGGGAAGGCGCTCTAGTGAGCTGGGCATGTCCGGTGTGGCCATTGCTCCCCCAAAGCCAGAAAGGCCCCTGGGGGCCAGCCGAGCCCCTGAGTTGGGGTACGGTTGGGGGACGGGGGCTGACTACGTCCCTGGGCTCCCAGCGTCAGCACTGAGCGTGTCCCAGGACCACGTGGGGCATGGCCAGGTGGTGAGTCTGCCCGGGGCCCCGGCAGGCTGGGCAGGAGGGAGGGGCTTGGGCTCTTGGCTGGAGAGAGCAGGCCCTGCCCAGGCCTCAGCCCTCTCCGCTCCTGGCCCACAGGAGCCTGCCCAGGACCGGCCCAGCCCCACGTGGGGCCCTCAGCGGAGACCCCGGGTGTCTAGGAGGAGGTACCCTGAAGGGCCCAACGGGCTCCCAGCGGACCTGCCCTCCCTGCCCTCCCAGGACCAGGCAGGGCCATGCACTACCCACGGCCCCGCCGCCAGCCCTGGGGGCCTTGCGGGCGGGCAGCTGCGCTGGAGATCGTGGGGGTGAGGCTGAGCTTGCTGGTCGCGCTGCAGGCGAGCGCAGTGGTAGCGAGGCCTCTGCATCTCGATGACCGGAAGTCGGGGCGTCTGTCCTTATGAAAACATTCATCGGGCCGCATCCCTCGAGAGCACCAACCGCACAGCCAGGAGCGCAGTTACAGTTACGGGGCCTGCACCCCGCCCCAAACCGGGCAGCCGGCCGGCAGCCATCTTGCTTCCCGGGAGCCGGATTAATTCCGGCCACGTCCGCCTCCAGCTCCGGAACTGGAGCGAGCCCACACGCGGGGAGCGGTGACGTTGATTGATTCTCCGCAGGACGGGGCGGGGGAGCGGCTCCCTGCCCCTGAGCGGAGCTGGCAGCCCAAGTCCCGTCCTCCTTCCCGTTGCCTCTGCCTGCCCGTGGGGGGAGTCGGGGTCAGAACCGATCGCTAATTAAATCGGGTCTGCTCGTCTGAAACCTTATTCGCTTCCCGCCACCCAGGAGCCTCCTGTTTTCTCGGGAGCCGGGTCCCAGAGACCCAAATTAAAACCTCGCCGTTTTCAGGGGAGGCCAAGCAAATTTGTTAGCTTGCCTTTTTTGCACAGTGGGCATTTTCCAGACTGCCATCTAATTTAATTTTTGCTTTTCTATTTTCTTGCTCTGTGTGCATAATAAGTTTCCCCGCCTTCGAATTGTTTGCTAAAGAGAAAACCTGTGCCGTATCGGGTTGGGCTGGGGTTTAATGTGAGTGTGTTTAAATCGGGATGGTTCAGGCCGACCCTCCCAGGCTCGGCGGAGACAGGAGCTCCGAGTCCTGCAGCCAACCTGCCTCTGTCGACTTGCTTACTTCTTGTCCACGAGTCGCTCACTCATTCATTTGTGGAAGGAGGGTGTCTGCCCCTAGCTGCAGGGAGGCGTATGGGGAAATGCACTGTTAAAATGCCCCAGGCACGGAGCCACACAGCACTGCAGGAGCTGGGGTGAAGACCGGGGCCCCAGAGTGCAGACCCTTCCTCCTCCTGCAAGGATCTCTGCAAGGGTGCATCTGCGAGGGAGCATTTGAGCAGGTGTGTTGAGGGATGAAGAGGAGCTTACCAGAAAAGCAGCTTTTTGTGACAGGAGCGGGCTGGTGGTGGGCGGGGAGCTTCCCTGGTGTTGTCTCTGAGCCGGGTGAGCCCTCCCCAGACTGTACGGGCAGAGCTGTGAGGCTGTGCACCTGCGTGGCGGTCGATCCAACTTACAGAGCCATCAGGAAAAGAGATTCAGAAACCAGCCACTCGCTGTGGGAAATCCACACACAGAAGAATAAGACAAACCCCTACCTCTCGCCGTGCACAAACGTTAATTCAAAACGGATCAAAGACCTAAATGTTGGAGGTAAAACTATAAAACTCTTAGAAGAAAACAGGTAAATCTTTGGGACCTTGGATTTGGCAAAAGATTCTTAGATACGGCACCAGAAGCAATAGCAACAACAGGAAAAATAGATAAATTGGACTCGATCAAAATAAAAAATTTTGTGCTTCAAATGGTACCATCAGGAAAGTGAACAAACCAACAGAATGGGAGACAATGTTTGCAAATCCTGTGTCTGATAAGGGTCCCGTATCCAGAATACATAGAGAAAGAATTCTTGTGCCTCGACGATAAGCTGACAGGTAACCCAATTACAAATGTGCAAAGGATCTGAAGAGAGATTTCTGTGAAGCGGGTACATAAATAGCCGCCGAGCGCAAGGAAAGATGGCAGGGAGTATTAGTCGTCAGTGGAACACACATCAGCCTACATGAGACACCCGCTGAGTTCCACACCCGCCAGGAGGACCAGGGCCACATCTTCTGGTGACGGTCGTCGGCAAGGATGTGGAGAAACTGGAACCTTCGTACGCTGCCGACGGGAGTGTGGAACGGCGCAGCCGCTTCGGAAAATGGTCACACAGTTGACACAGAGTGATCATACGACCCAGCAGTCCCACGCCTAGTGGAACCTCAGGTGTGTACCCAAGAGGAGCGAAAACACGCGTGCACACAGAAACGTGGACCAGGTGCTCACAGCAGCATGCGAGTGCCATAGCCCGGTTGCGGAAACTACCCGGATTCCCATCAGTGGACGAGTGAGCGAATCAAATGCGGGGTGTCCAAGAGGCACGCTGCTGAGCCGTGAGGAGGCGTGGAGCCCCGAGACACGCGACGGCACGGAGGGCCTTGCCCACGGGCTCAGCGAGAAGCCACACACAAGGCCACGTGTCGTGATTCCATTCCTGTGCAGTGTCCGGAACGGGCAAATCCCAGGCGCAGAAAGTGGGTCAGTGGCTGCCGGGGCCGGGGAGCAGGCGGGGGGTAGCAAGGGGGCGCAGGGGTCCTGTTAGGCGACGAGAGTGTTCTGAGGCCAGCTGGGTGATGGGTGCACGATCCGTGACTGTGCTGCGGGAAACGCTGGGGAACGCGCCGGGATGAGTGAGTGGGGTGCAGTATGGACGGGACCTCCGCCGAGCTGCTGCCAGGAAAGACACACAGACTGCAGGAGGGCGTCTGGGAGGAGCCTGCGGGTCGTGCACCCGCTGAAGGTGGGGGTGGGGCCGGCCGCACCGCCGGGCGTGGCGGGGCGAGGGTCAGGGTGCGGGGGTCGGAGCTCTGGGTGCAGACTGGGGGTTTGGGGGGTTGGTGAGTGTAGACCCCTGCTCCGCGGACTCTCGATGGTAAAGAGCTGGCATTTTGGTCGTAAGAGACAATGAAGAATGAGCAACTGGAAAAGAAATTGCAGGGCGCGTTCGGGTCGGAGTCCTTTTTATTGGATTCAGCGGAT